CATCGATATACAACCACCAACTGTGTTTTCAATGACTTTTCCCCTCTAAGATTTAAGTCCACAGGAATATATGTGTAGGACCATCTAACAAGCCCTTAACACATAATTCAAGCAACACAGACATGGATGAGCCGTTGTCGTCTTCTTCTCCCCATCCTCCCCCTCCTCTCCTTCTTCCCCTTCCTCCTCCTCTTCCTCCTCCTTTCTTCTTCTTTTCTTCTTCAAGATATGAGGCCCAGAAAGCATATCAGAAGGATTTCATCGTCAGGAGGACCAAATTTCAAATTTAGAAAGCTCTAAAGTCAGATCTCTGACCTTTATTCGTGTATCTCAGTCATAGTGAAATTTCATCACACTTGTACCCACAAGTTGTAGATAGATGCTTTGATTTAAAGGATGTTATCTTGTTTTCTGCCCTGTGCCTGGACTGGGGTTGAACTCAGGGGTGGTAGGCAAACACTCTGCCATGTGAGTCATGTTCCCAGTCCTTTCTGCTTTAGGTGATTTTTCAGCTAGTGTCTCATTTTGTGCCAGGGCCAGCGATACTCCTCTCTTTGCCATCTGTGTAGCTGGAATCACAGGCATGTTCTACCACACCTAGGCTGTCTGCTGCAAAGGAGGTCTTATTAACTTTTTGCCCAGGCTGTCCTCAAACTGAAGTCCTCCCAATCTGTACCTCCTAAGTAGCTTGGATTATAGAGTAGCTGGGCTTACAGATGTGGCACATAGTACTGAGAAATAGCTATCTCTTTATGTTTTTCCCTGTAAGACACTGAGAGGCAAAAGAGGTAACTTTATGATTGCTCAGTCTGTCAGAATCTAGGATAAATTTCTTTAGGAAAAAGGGTACTAACTGGGAATAATAATGACACAATGAAACAGAAGAGAAGAAATGATGTTAAGTATGTGCTAGAAATGCAACTAAGAGCCAGGCGCTGGTGTCTCAGGCCAGTAATCCTAGCTACTTGGGATGTTGAGATCTGAGGATCATGGTTCAAGGCCAGCTAGGGCAGAAAAGTCCATGAAACTCTTACCTCCAATTAATTATCAGAAAACTGGAAGTGGAGCTGCAGCTCAGAGTGGTATTACACTAAGCCTTGAGCAAAAAGCAGAGACAGTGCCCAGGCTCTGAGTTCAAGCCCCAGGACCAACAAACACACATATAGAAATGTAACTAAGTCAAGGGATGGTTGACAGGGTAGGAACACCTGTAATGGGTGAGAAATAATCTACAGCTGGGCTCTGGTAGCTTATACCTGTGATCCTAGCTAATTGGGAAGTTGAAACCCGAGGAATGCAGTTCAACACCAGCCTGAGCGGGGAAAGTCCATGAGACTGTTATCTCTAATTAACCTCCAGAAAACTGGAAGTGGAGCTGTGGCTCAAATAGTAGAGTGCTAGCTTTGATCAAAAAAAAGCAAAGGGACAGCACCCAGGCCCTGAGTTCAAGCCCCAGCAATGGCACAAAAACAATCTAGGAAGTCAGAGGGAGAAAACAGGTATTTACACATTTCTTTTAAATCTCTAAAAGTTTATCTGGGATAACCGTGAGTTAGCTAAGGCTAAGCTTAGGCATCTATTTATCTGGTGAGAAAATGACTGAACAAGACAACACAATAGCAGTCTTCTTGGCCAGCCAACATAATCACTGAGGGATTGGTGGCAGCAGAGCCAGATTCTGTATTTATAGACTCCTGAGTGGGAAAACCAGGCACGTTAACCAGCTTCCCCAACCCTCAGTTTTCTAATTTGAAACTCACTTTTCTTCTAGTTTCTCTGCTGTCAACATGTACTGCATTTTTAAAAAAAGTCAATTTAAAAGCAGACGTGCTATGACTAATTTAAGAACTCCCAAAGCAGGCTCTTTTCCAAAAATACATTGCAATTGACAATACTGTAAACTCAGTCTAAAGGGCTATGACACAACTGCTGGCCCCGGGCAGAACCAGATGTTTACTACCCGTCTGGCAAACAGGGAGGTCTGCAGTTCTCCACACCCTTTTGCTAGACTTGGTATGGAGCTTAACATGAAACTTCTGTATAAACAAATGGTTTTAATTGGTTTATCTTAAAAGATCTAGACTAATATCTTTAGTTTTCATCTTGGTTTCTAAGATAGAAGTTGCATGGAAAAATTTATATTGGGGTCAAAATTGCTAGTGCTTTGCATATATTCTATTTCTCTCTCTCTTTTTTTTGTTGGTCGTGGGACTTGAACTCTGGGTTTGGGTGCTGTCCTTGTGCTTTTCAGCTCAAGGCTCTACCGCTTGAGCCACAGCTCCACTTCTCGTTTTCTAGTAGTTTATAGGAGATAAAGAGCCTCACGCCTGTAATCCTAGCTACTCAGGAGGCTGAGATCTGAGGATCGAGGTTCAAAGCCAACCCTGGGCAGGAGAGACCGTGAGACTCCTATCTCCAATAAACCACCAGAAAACCGGAAGTGGCACTGTAGCTCAAGTGGTAGAGCGCTCGCCTTGAGCTGAAGAGCTGAGGGACAGTGCCCAGGCACCAGAGTTCAAGCCCCACGACTGACAAAAAAAAAAAAAAAAAGTCTCACCGACTTTCCTGCCTGGGCTGACTTTGAACTGTCATCCTCAGATCCCAGCCTCCTGAGTAGCTAGGATCACATGAACCATGGGTGCCCGGCTCATATACTGTAATTCCTTTCTTTCTTTTTTTTTTTTTTGGGGGGGGGGGTCCGGTCGTGGGGCCTGAACTCTGGGCCTGAGCGCTGTCCCTCAGCTCTTCTGCTCAAGGCTAGCGCTCTACCACTTGAGCCACAGCGCCACTTCCGGCTTTTTTCTTTTTGCTTACGTGGTGCTGAGGAATTGAACCCAGAGCCTCAGGCATGCAAGGCAAGCACTCTACCACTGAGCCACCTTCCCAGCCCCATAAACTGTATTTCTTTAAACACACACATTTTCCCCCCTAGTACTTAGACCTAGATCCATGGACTCACCATGCTATACCCGCAGTCCTCTTAAAAATTATAAAATAAGCTGGGCGCTGGTGGCTCACGCCTGTAATCCTAGCTACTCAGGAGGCTGAGATCTGAGGATCGTGGTTCAAAGCCAGCCTGGGCAGGAGAAACCGTGAGACTCCAATCTCCAATAAACCACCAGAAAACCGGAAGTGGCGCTGTAGCTCAAGTGGTAGCGTGCTTGCCTTGAGCTGAAGAGCTGAGGGACAGCGCCCAGGCCCAGAGTTCAAGCCCCACAACCAACAACAACAACAACAAAAATTATAAAATAAAAAGTCTAAAGTTGAACTCACCATTCTCCTGCCTCATCCTCCCTGTCTGTGTTACTGAGGTTTGAGCCACACCTCCATCTCTTCCAACCTTTGTTTTTAATTGAGATAAGATGCTGGGCATAGGTGGCTCACACCTGTAATCCGAGCTACTCAGGAGGCTGAGATCTGGGGACCACGTTTCAAAGCCAGTTCAAGCAGGAAAATCTTTTTTTTTTTTTTTTTTGCAGTCCTGGGCTTGAACTCTGGTCTTGGGGGCTGTCCCTGAGCTCTTTTTGATCCAGGCTAGATCTCTATCACTTGAACCACAGCACTACTTCCAACTTTTTATGATTAATTGGAGTTAAAGAATCTCATAGAGGGGCTGGGAAGGTGGCCCAGTGGTAGAGCACTTGCCTTGCATGCCTGAGGCCCTGGATTCGATTCCTCAGCACCACATAAGCAAAAAGAAAAAAGCCGGAAGTGGCGCTGTGGCTCAAATGGTAGAGCGCTAGCCTTGAGCTGAAGAGCTGAGGGACAGCGCCCAGGCCCAGAGTTCAGGCCCCACGACTGGACCCCCCCCCCCCAAAAAAAAAAAAAAAATCTCATAGATTTTCCTAAGCTGGCTTCAAACCGTGATCCTCAGTTCTCAGCCTCCTGAGTAGCTAGGATTACAGGCAAGAGCCACCAGCGCCCAGCTGTAAAACTCACCTCCACTAAATTTCAAAAAGAGCCATAAATAGAGCTATTGATCAAGTGGTGGAGTGCTAGCCTGGAACAAAAGCAGCTCAGGGACAAAGTCTCAGGCCTTGAGTTCAAATGCCAGCACAGCACCAACGCACAACTGGCACGCGCGCACACACACATTATATTGAGAACTTGTGTCCTAGGGATTCACTGTGACCTAGGTGATTTATGCACTTGATCCCCTTTAATCATGACAGCTTTAGAAGATGAGGTTCTCTCATTCCATACAGAGGACAAACGCGCTCTGGAGAGGCTAACCATGTCGCGGAGGGTCCTGGAACTCTCAAGGGGTGCCGGCGCCACGGGATTCCAGGATACCTCCAACACCAACGCAAGCTTTTGCCGCCCTGCCGGTGTGGCCACTTGTCAAAGCAGAGAGAGGGTCAGAGTGCGGTTGGGGATCAGGTGTCCCGGGAGCTGGCACCTGGATGAGAAAGCTGCCACCAAAGACTTCTCGCGCAGGCAGTGACGGCGGGATCGGCCGCGCGCGGCTACCCGCGGGCCGAGGAGCGCCCAGCGGCCCCCCGCTCCGCGGCCACCCAGAGCTCGGGAGATCGTGGAACCCTCGACACCCCGGGGGAGTTCCAGGCCTCGCTTAGGTCCTGCGGATTCCGCCGGGCGAGGGGCTGCAGGGCTGACAGCGATCGGTGGGACTCCAGGGGGCGCCCTCGTGACGCGCACGCCCGAACCCCAGAAACCTCCCCCGCCCCAAATCACTGCGGGCCTGCGGCAGCCGCCCACAGCGCCCCTGGGGGTCGCGGCCCCGCCTTCCCAGCCCCCGGAAGTGACGTCGACGACGGCGGCGTCAGGGTGGGGCCCCAGCACAGCCGGGGGGGGGGTTCGAGAGTGGCGGCGGCCCGGCCGCAGCGAGGGACAGCCCGAGCGTGCGTCCGGCGGGCAGCGGCCGGAGGACCCGCGGCGCCTTCACCGCCGCCGCTGCCCTCACCGCCGCGTGCGGGGGTGGAGCGTGGGACGCGAGCAGCCGCGGCAGCTGTACGGCGGCGGGAGATGCGGCCGGACGCAGGCACTCGGCGGGCTCGGCTCGGCCACCGCCGCCTTCGCCGGCCCCGTCGTGCGGGTCGCCGCGGCTACCTCGCCGTCTTCGAGTTGCCAGCGTGAGGAGCATCGCGTTTGAGGCGGAGGCCAAGAGGAAGCTCCGCACGCGGTCTGGTGAGCGACCCGCCGGAGCCCCGGGAGGCCGTCGCGCCGCACCCTGTCCGGCCGGGAGCGGCTGCGGGGGCGGGCGGGGAGCGAGGCTCGGAGGCACAACAGGAAGTGCGCGCGCCGCCGCGGGGCGGGGCTTAGGTGCTCCCGTGCGGCCCCGCCCCTCGTCCACGCCCCGCCCCCGCCCCGCCCCTCCGACGCCGTCGGTCCCGGCCCGGCTCGGGGGTGGTCCCCCGAAGCGCTCCTTCCGCCTGTCCGGCTCCTCGAATCCCGCGTGGGCCTCGGGCGAAGGTGGCCGCGGGTTGAGTGGCGTGGGCGGGGACCACGGGGCGCCGGTGACTCCATGTCTCGACAGGAAGTCGGAAAATGAAAGTACAGTAACTGGGCTCCGGCCGGGGCCGCGGGCGGACTTTGGTCTCCGGGGGCGCGGGGCGCCCGCGTCTCCGCCGCCGGGCTCGCGGTGGGTCCGGCGGGTTTCATTCTGCACACCTGCTCCCGACCCCCCGGCACTTCCCGCTTGTTGCACCCGGCGGCCAGGCCGGGAGCTGGGAGCCCCGTCCTCCTAAGAGCCGTTGCAAAAGTCTTTTTGGGGGTTGGGGGGTGCGGAATGTAAAGCAGGCAGGAGCAGCAAATAAAGGGGTGTCCTCGACAGTCGCGATTGCGGTCTGAAGCGTGAGGCGGTGGAGTGGGGGGCTTCGACACTCCGATGACGGATCGGACGCCTCCCTCGGCCACCACAGGAGCAAAAAGAACCCCGAACCAACTTGATGCTGCAGTATTTAGGGCTGGCAGTGAGTGGTGTTTTGGTTAAAATTCCATGTGATTCAGGTTTCCACCTTTAGGGACCCTCTGACTTCACGAGTGGTACAACTGCGGAAGCGCAGGCCGTTACATACTTTGGGAAACACGATCACTTAGTTTTAGGTAATCTTAACTACTTTTGGGATTTGGGATGTACTCAGTGGCAGGGTGTCTGCATGAAGCCCCAGGTGGATACCTGGCACACAAAGCGTACAGTTACACTGTTCTCTTTATATAGAATCCTGTAAGTGTTACACTTTTTTTTAAAACTGTTGGGTTTGAACTTAAGAGCTTTCTTCCCATTTGCTGTAGGCAGCTTTGCTAAAACTTGAGCCGCCCTGCCAGATAGGGCAGGTAAATTTTTGACAAGGATGATTATTTTGATTCAAACGAATGTTGATAAATTTTGAAATTTGCCTTTTTGTTTTATTTAAGCAGCTGCACTGAAGAATTTTGGGTCTTTTAGCTACTTTCTTTCTTTCTTTTCTTTTTTTTTTTTGGGTCCGGTCGTGGGGCCTGAACTCTGGGCCTGGGTGCTGTCCCTCAGCTCTTCAGCTCAAGGCCAACGCTCTACCACTTGAGCCACAGTGCCACTTCCGGCTTTTTTCTTTATGTGGTGCTGAGGAATCGAACCCAGGGCCTCTGGCATGCAAGGCAAGCGCTCTACCACTGAGCCACCTTCCCAGCCCCTCTTTTAGCTACTTTCTGAAAACTATTGGGCCATGGGTCACTGCAGGAGCTGGACTGTGTATTATAAACATGTTTGAAGTGGAAAAGGTTTATTTAATAGTCTTCCATTCTCCCATTATTTTATTTCAACATGGTTTCCTGTTTCTTTTTTTATTCTGTGATCCATCCAGGGTCTATAGTATGCAAGAAAGTGATCTACTGCTGCCTAATCCCTCCCCCTCTACCTTAGTGTAATGCAGGGATTGGACTTTCTTTGAAGTGTTAAGGTAACATTTTCTTCAGCATTTAATCCATCAAAAATGAGGTATCTTCATTTGACCAGTCTCAGTACATAGTGTAGGCTGGTCTCAAACCCAGGGGCCTCCTGCCTCAGGCTCCTGACTTATTAGGATTACAGGCATGTGCCACCATGCACACTATTTTCCTTACTTTTTGTTTTCTATTGTTGTAACAAGAATAAGAGTGTATTTTTGACTCTTCAGTTTATGCCTATAATTTTTAACATCTTCTGAAGTTATTTTTTTCCCCTTTAGTTCTCTTTTATGGCTGAGGAAGTCTTTGAGGTTCATAATTAATACCACACTTGCAGGAACTAAATGAGTAGTTTCTATTTAACCATAAATCTGGGAGTTTGCCAAGTTCTCTCTCTTTTCTTTTTGTGATGGTGCTGGGGCTTCAACGCAGACCCTAGTCTGTCTTTTAACTTTCTTGCTAAATAATAAATAGAGCCACAGCTCTATTTCCATCACCAATTTTATTATTGTAAGAACAACTGATATTAAAAAAAAAAAAGAATAACCTGATATTAAAATTGAATAAGAGGTTGAAAATGTAGCTAGGAGTTAGAGCATGTTTAGTGTATGTAAGATCTTGCATTTGATCTCTAGCATTACACATAAAAAATGTTTTAATGGCAAAATACTGTTTTAGGAGCGAGGCACTGATAGCCCATGCCTTGTAATTGTAATGCTCAGAAAGCTGAGCCCTGAATGATTGGTTCAAAGCCAGACGAGGCAGAAAACTGAAAGACTTCATCTCTCAAACGGCAAGAATCTGGGCTGGATATGTGACTATGCCAGCCAAGTAAGCAAACTGAGCAGGCAACGACCCTAACTAAGTTCAAATCCCAGTTCTAGAAATAAATATATAAAGTACTCACTGAAGATGTCCATTCTTCTGCGAAGTTTTTCTCAAAAAAAAAAAGATCAGATTTCTAGTACTTCAATTCCAAACCATAATGCCCTTTTGTTTTCCTCTTAGCCACCTTCTGTCCTGGACACGTTGATGTGCTGGAGCATTGGCATTTACCATAGGACTTTGCTTCTGTCCTAAAGTATCCAACACCCCACCAGCATCTGACCTCATACACCAAACTCTTGTAGTTAGCAGAGGGAAAGGCCGAAGGTAAGCCTTCACTACCTTGGGGGTATTCCTATATTTTTAAAAACCTTCCTTGCTCAGGATGGCTCTTATGTGCTCCTGGGGGAGATGTTAATACCTCACTAATGACTTAGTGGCTGTATCATTTGGCCAGTTTAAACCTGTAAGGCTGAAACATAATAGGTATTAAGAGTCAAGGATTTGGGTCTTAGAATTTTTCCCAAAACAGGGCTGGGAAGGTGGCTCAGTGATAGAGAGCTTGCCTCACATGCATGAGGCCCTAGGTTCAATTCCTCAGTACCACATAAACCAAAAAAGTTGGAAGTGGTGCTCTGGCTCAAGTGGTAGAGTGCTAGTCTTGAGTTGAGGAGCTGAGGAACAGCACCCAGGCCCAGAGTTCAAGCCCCATGACTGACCAAAAAAAAAAAGAGTGCAATGAGGTTATTATGTAGATTGTTTCAGTAAACAAACTGAAAAATATCACACACAAAAAAGGAACTTTTCTTCCCCAAACAAATGGAAATATAGGCACTACCGTCATTTATACTTCAGTTCTCTGCCTGGCTTTTCTCTCTCCCCTCTTCATCTCTCATACGTGTACGTTCCTGCCTCTGCTCCTGTAATCATTCTTTTTTTTTTTTTCTTAAGATGATGGTATGGTGGTTTTGTGATGTAGTCTAGGCTGGCCTAGAGTAGCTAGGATTACAGGTGTGAGCCACTGGAGCCTAGCCCTGACCTCTGTCTTGAGTGGTAGAATTACAGGGGTATGCCATCATATCTGCCTCTGTAAACATTCTTTTTTCCCCCCTTTTGTTTTTGGTGGAGCTTGACTTCAGGGCTTGGGTATTGTCCCTGAGCTCTTTTGCTCAAGGTTAGCACTCCAGCTTTTAGCCACAGCTCCACTTCCAGTTTTCTGATGGTTAAAGAGAGAAGAGTCTCACAGACTTCCGTGCCTGGGCTGGCTTTGTTCCCCCATCCTCAGATCTCAGCCTTCTGAGTAACTAGGATTACAGGTGTGAGCCACCAGGGCCTGGCTTAAATATTCTTTTTTTGTGTGTGTGTGTCGGTCGTGGAGCTTGAACTCTGGGCTTGGGCGCTGTCCCTCAGCTTTTCAGCTCACGGCGAGTGCTCTACTGCTTGAGCCACAGCGCCACTTCTAGTTTCCTAGTGGTTTATTGGAGATAAGAGTCTCACAGACTTTCCTGCCCAGGCTGGCTTTGAACCTCGATCCTCAGATCTCAGCCTCCTGAATAGCTAGGATTACAGGCGTGAGCCACCAGCGCCCGGCCTTAAATATTCTTTATACAAAGGTGGTATTTGGGAATGTGGAAATTGAGTTGTTTGGTTAAGCTAATACTTTGAGTCATTTTAGCAGTTGTAGACTAGCAACTGATGGCTTAAATGGGAAAACTGGATTTAAAAAATAACTTTCCTGGGCTGGGAAGTTGGCTCAGTGGTAGAGTGCTTGCCTTGCATGCATGAGGCCCTGGGTTCGATTCCTTAGCACCACATAAGCAAAAAGCAAAAAAAAAAGCCAGAAGTGGTGCTGTGGCTCAAGTGGTAGAGCACTAGCCTTGAGCTGAAGAGCTGAGGGACAGCACTCAGGCCCAGAGATCAGGCCCCACGACTGGACCCAAAAAAAAAAAAACTTTCCTTGCTTGAATAAGCATTATCAGAAATATGGTCTGTCTGGTACATGCAGAATGGCAGGTGATTCTTCTCCTGACATACTTAGTTGATATAATAACCAACTGTTGTAGCCAGGGGCTGGTGGCTCACACCCGCAATCCTATCTGCTTAGGAGCTGAGATTGGAAGAGTTGAGGTAAGGCTGGAGACGTGACCCAAGTGTTAGAGTGCCAGCGAAGTAAGCAAACTGAGCAAGCATGAGACCCTGAGTTTAAATCCTACTGGCAAAAATAAGTAAATAAATCAGTAAGAAGCCCAGCTTAGGTGAGGCTAGGGGGAACTGATTGCTAGTGGGCATGGTTATTTAGCATTAGAGGAAGCTTTTCATTTATAATTTATACATGCCTATCATGTAGTGGCTAACAAGTGTGTGATCACCTTAGCAAGGTAAATTCAGGGCAAGAAGGTCCTTTGATGAACAGAGGATGTGAGTAATGAAGGAGGCTTGCACTCATGGCCTCAGCTTCTCCAGGAGTTCTGACTGGAGGCATCTTTCCTTTCCTGTTTTTTAACTGTTTTCCCATCTCTGCTTCGGGATGATAGCATCTCTGTACAACCAGCTTCAAAGTGCTGCCTGTGTGAAGATTCCTGGAAGACATTGCATGTGTCCAAGGGAAGCTAGAGTTAGAAACCCAGGTGTTATTAATCAGCCCTTAAGGGTCCCGTTAGAATAGAATTAAGTTGTTAGAATTAAGTTTTCTCAAGCCTAACTTACTTAGTTTGTGGTGTTAGGCTTGTGTACTTTAAACATCTTTTTTTTTTTTCTTGCCGGTCATGGGGCCTGAACTCGGTCTGGGAGCTGTCCCTCAACTCTTCGGCTTAAGGCGAGCGCTCTACCACTGGAGCCACAGCACCACTTCCGGCTTTTTCTGTTTATGTGGTGCTGAGGAATCGAACCCAGGGCCTCATGCTTGCAAGGCAAGCACTCTACCGCTGAGCTACCTTCCCAGCCTCTACTTTAAACATCTTTATTGATAATGTAATTTATATGCCATGAAATTCACCTGCCTAGGGTGCATAGTTCAGTGAGTTTTAGTATAATCATGGAGTTGCGCAAACATCTTTTTTTTTTTTTTCCAGCAGCCCCAAAAGAAACACCTGAGATAGTTGTAGTGTTCCGTACCTACAATCCCAACACTCAGGAGAATGAGGCATCTGGAGATCCATTTTCTTGTTGTAGCTCTTCTAGTAGTTAATGACGTAATTTTTTATTGGTTAGATTTTTTTTTTGCCAGTCATGGGGCCTGAACTCTGGTCCTGGGCGCTGTCCCTCAGCTCTTCAGCTCAAAGCTAGTGCTCTACCACTTGAGCCACAGCGCCACTTCCGGCTTTTTTCTTTTTTGCTTATGTGGTGCTGAGGAATCGAACCCAGGGCATCATGCATGCAAGGCAAGCACTGTACCATTGAGCCACCTTCCCAGCTCTTCCCTCCCTTCTTTGAGAGTCTGGTCACATAGCCCAAGTTGTTTTTGAACTTATTTTCTTCTCCATTGTGGGGATTATAGGCATGCACCATCATACCTGGTTTAAATTTTTCTTTTTCTTCTTTTTTTTTTTTTTTTGATGGGTTGTGGAGCTTGAACTCTGGGCCTGGGTGCTGTCTTCAGCTCAAGGCTAGTGCTCTACCAATTTAGCCACAGCTTCACTTCCATAAATTTTTCTTTTTTTAAGTTGTAAAAGTTATTTATATATTCTTGGTTAAGGTTTTTGTTTATGTGTTTGTGTCTGTTTTGTAGTACTGTGGATCAAACCCAGGGCTATGTAGAGGACCACAGTAGTTGGAATAGGAGTAGATTATTTCCTCTACTTCAGCCCCCAGGCTACCCTGAGACAAATTTCTTGGCCAGTAAATAAAACTGGGTTAGCTGGGTGCTGGTGGCTCACACCTGTAATCCTGGCTACTCAGGAGGCTGAGATCTGAGGATGATTATTTACTGCCAGCCCCGGTAGGAAAGTTAGAGCACTAGCCTTGAGCAAAAGAGCTCAGGAACAGTGCCCAGGTCCTAAGTTCAAGCCCCATGACTGACAAAAAAAAACAAACAACTGGGTTATTTACATAGGTGCTAGAATTGTGGTCTTCTGAGAGAATATAACAATGAGAGTTTGAGGTAAAATTTAATAACATACTTTTTTGGAGGGTCGGTGTGAGCCACTGGTGCCTGGCTAACTTACACGCTTGATTGACAAGTTTTTCTGTTCCTGTTATTTTTGAACTAGTTTTTGCCTCCATGAAAGTTGCTTAAGAATTTTTTTTTTTTTTTCCAGTTCTGGGAATCAAACTTTGGGCTTCAGACTTACTAGGGAATGCCCTGCCAATTTAGCCACTCTTGGGCCATGCTTAGGAGGTTGGGTAAGGGGAAGGGGGCGGGTGGTGACAGATTAGAGTATTTGAACTCCAAGCCTCATGTGCTCTCGGCTTTGCTTGCTCAGCTGGTGCTCTACCTGCCGCAGGAAGTCCTGCTTTTTGCTTGTTATTTTAGAGACAGTCTCACACACTTTTTCTGCACAAGTGGCTTCCACCCTTGATCCTTCTGCATAAGTGGCTTCCACCCTTGGTCCTTCTGCATAAGTGGCTTCCACCCTTGGTCCTTGGGATCTTGATCTCCTGAGTGGCTAGGATTACAGATATGAGTTACCAGTGCCCATAAGTGCTGAGGACTTCTTAAACAGCATGTCATGCTTAAGAGTTTGGATTCTGGATCCACATTGCTTGGGCTTACTTAGCTTCATTTGTTATGTGATTTGGGGCAAGTTACATAATCCTTTGATTAGTCCATTTTTCTTTCCATATGTAAAACAATGCAGTAGTACCTAACTTATGGGATTCGTATGGAAATGAAATAACTTGTACACTTAGAGCACATAGAGCCAGGCCTGACAGTGTTAGATAAGTTATTGTTACCACATATCTTTCAGCCTATTGCTATGGACAGTGCCATCACCCTGTGGCAGTTCCTCCTCCAGCTCCTGCAGGAGCCTCAGAACAAGCACATGATCTGCTGGACCTCTGACAATGGGGAGTTCAAGCTTCTGCAGGCAGAAGAGGTGGCTCGGCTCTGGGGGATTCGCAAGAACAAGCCCAACATGAATTACGACAAACTCAGCCGAGCTCTCAGATACTACTACGTGAAGGTAATGCACCTCCCGGTCTTGAGTCTACAGATAGCCTCAAGACCAGCGTCATTCCTTCATTTCTATAGAGATTGTGGGTATTGCTCTCTCTGTTATTTTATATTTCAGCAGTGTGTAAATGTAAAATGTTCAGCTATATGTCTATAAATTCTTACTCAGTAACCTATTCTTATTAAATATTCTTTATTCCTGGCTGAGTTGTCTTTTAAAACAAAAAGTACAGGATTGGAATATGAAAAAAAGAAATAGTTTTTTTTAGGATAAATATTCCCGTGTTAGTCATAATGTATTTAAAAAATTGTTATACATAGATTTTTTTTAAGCTCTTAATTTTAGTTTTAATCTAGGGAACATAGATTAATATCTTAAAGAATAGCTGTTAATGGAATTGATTTCTTAGTAAAAATTTTATATATTTGATTCGTCGTTACTTTGAATTATGTTCTTGGGCACTGAGGAAAAACAAACAGCCTTGAAGGCTAGACTTAGAATAAGAGGCCGAACTTGTTTCCTTTTGCCTTTAAGTTGATCTTATCAGCTTTCTCTGAAGGAAGTAGCAACCTCACAGATGCAATGCTCAAATTCCTTTCTGCCTTCTTAGGATGCTATGGCTTGTGCCTGTGGACTTATTTGATATAGCAGTCCAGTGAGTTCTGACTTAATAAGTATATTTGAAAAGGTCACAGAATTAACAATTGCTCAACTTTTTATAGTGAAACTTTAACTTCTCCGCATTAACCAGGGCTGTTTGGTGTGGCTAGGTTGATGTTGAAGATTGTGAAGCTTTTAAGTGAGCTATGTCCACTTCTCAGATAGCTTCACTAGGTCAGCTTTTTCATTAGCTGTGGGATGTAAGTTAACAAGAAAGTATAAGAATGCTTATTTTCTTTACCTACAGAATATTATTAAAAAAGTGAATGGTCAGAAGTTTGTGTACAAGTTTGTGTCTTACCCAGAGATTTTGAAAATGGATCCAATGGCAGTGGGCAGGATTGAGGGAGACTGTGAACCTCTAAATTCCAATGAAGTCAGCAGCAGCGGCTCCAAAGATGTGGAGAATGGTGGGAGAGAGAGAGCAGCCCCTCAGCCTGGCGCCAAGGCCTCTAGCCGCAACGACTACATCCACTCTGGCTTGTATTCTTCATTTACTCTCAACTCACTGAACACCTCCAGCAAGAAGCTTTTCAAATCTATAAAGATGGAGAATCCAGCTGAGAAACTGGCCGAGAAAAAATCTCAGGAGCCAACACCATCGGTCATCAGATTTGTAACAACACCTTCCAAAAAGCTGCCCAGTGAACCTGTTCCTGTTGCCATCTCATCCGGGCCCAGTATCTCTCCATCTTCTGAAGAAACTATCCAAGCACTGGAGACTTTGGTTTCTCCAAAACTACCTTCCTTGGAAGCCCCAACTACTTCCGTATCCAGTGTAGAAGCCACTTTCACCCCCACACCTCCTGCTCCATCCTTACCCCTTTCTTTGAAGGAGCCTTCTCGAACACCTTCTCCACCACTGAGTTCCAACCCGGACATCGATACAGACATTGCATCATTGGCTTCTCAGCCAATGGAACTTCCAGAGAACTTGTCACTGGAGTCTAAAAATGAGGATTCAGTTTTGCCAGAAAAGGACAAAACAAATAGCTCATCAAGGTCCAAAAAACCCAAAGGGTTAGAACTGGCACCCACTCTTGTGATCACAGGCAGTGACCCGAGCCCACTGGGGATTTTAAGCCCATCTCTCCCTACGGCTTCTCTCACACCAGCACTTTTTTCTCAGGTAGCTCACTCCTCCTTTCTAGTGCGGCTATTCATGTTTATTCGCCTTCTAAAACAAACCTACAATTTCCACCTGCAAGTGTGCTCTCTATTCCTTAGGTTTGTCTTAAAAGGGTTCTAGATAACTCAAACCCAATCCCTCACCTCAGGATGGCTAAAATGGAAGGTTTGGGGTATTGGCTTTAAACATTCATTGTTCTACAAGTAAATACTGATTTCAGATTTTCTACTTCCTCCTATTGAAAGTATTTCTTCTTCCTTTCTTCATAAAACTTGGTATCTTATGAGAAGACAGTAGGTACTAAGAGCGGTAGAAAGGAATGGGTGTGGTATGGAGTCTCAAGTTTGTTTAGTTATAGCTGGTATTTATTAACTTGCTCATCTTGTAGAACATTTTACTAGATCACTCCCAGAGCATCTCATTATTAAAGAAGGACTGTGTTGTTGACTCAGTTACCCATTATACCTCTGTACCTGAATCGAGGTTGCTTTTGCTATTTGCTATAAAAGCTGAATTGAAAAGTGGTTATTTTGACCTTTAGCTTCATTAAGTTCCACAAATGACTTCTGAAATTTTCATCATGAAAAATTTCAGACCTAGAGACATTTGGAGTGGAGAACCACACAATACTTGGGTTGAATGTGTAAACAGATTGTTTGCAGCTTGTATACTGTTGCAGGGACAGAGCACAGGCCCTGTTTTCATTTACTGGCTCTCTTTGTGTGTTGCAGACACCTATCCTACTGACCCCAAGCCCTTTGCTCTCCAGCATCCACTTTTGGACTACGCTCAGCCCTGTAGCTCCCCTGAGTCCTGCCAGACTTCAAGGTGCTAACACACTTTTCCAGGTAAATTCCATCAAAGCCTGTCTCTTGTAATAGGAGTACTAAGTGAAGAAACAGCAAAGCAGCATCCACTGTTCGGATAGTCAGCTTCTACTTAATAAAGATTAGAGTTTAGTTTTGAAGTTCCAAGGGTTGATTTTCTGCTAGCTTATTTTGCTACACTGGGGATTGAACCCAGGTCTTTGTGCATGTGAGGCAAATGCTCTACCACTTGAACTACACCTCCAGACTTCAAGTGTTGTCTAGCCAGCAAAGAAACTGGATAAATACCCAAAGTTTACCTTTTCGTTGCTTACTATTACATTTGATTTTAAATTGTTCTATTTTGAGGTAGATTTTGAGTTCACTTAAATTTTTTGTCATCTTGAACACCAGACATTTTTTTGTTTGAGTGTATGTGTGCGCATGTGTATGCACTTAAGCTGGTCTGTGCATCTATTCAGGTATACATCTGTGTCTATATACATAGACATACAGTAAGTTGCATGCTTGTAGTCCTTGCCACTTTGAAGTGAGTCAGGGTAGTCTGCTTGAGCCTAAGAGTTTAAGGGCAGCCTGAGCCACATAGCTAGACTCCATCTCAAATAAACAATACATGTGTATAGATATGTTCTCAGCTTGCAATGGAATTATGTTCTATGCAGCCAGTATAAGTTGGAAATATCATTTAAGTAGAAACCATTTAATAACCTAACCAATGGACCATCATTGCTTATCAACATGGGCCACTGTATAGTATTGGATAGTTTTCCTTGTGATTCAGCAATTAACTCAAGGATATGGCTCTCTGTTGTTGCCCAGCATGACAAAAGAGGATTGTACTGTGTATCGCTAGTCCACGAAAATACTAAAATTCAAAGCATGGTTTCTATTAAATGTACCTGGCTTTTGTACCATCATAAGCTGGAACAGTCCAGGGACTGTCTATATATGTATATAAATATACAAAAGTGTCCATATGCACAGCCAGCGTTGCTTGATGAAGGGGATGCCTTCTGTGAAAGGAATCCTGTGATTCCTGATTTCATCGTAGGATGGTCCATAGTGTATTTCACAAACCAAGGTGTACAGCCTGCTGTGTACCTGGGCACATGGTGTCTGTTTATCAGTCACAAGATTAAATGATGCAGCCGAGAAACAAGCCACATAAGACAAGAAACCTGACAGGGTTGGGGCTGGGAAGGTGGCTCAGTGGTAGTAGAGTACTTGTCTCGCATGCATGAGGGCCTGGGTTGGATTCCTCAGCACACATAAGCAGAAAAAAGCCAGAAGTGGCACTGTGTAGGGCGCTAGCCTTGAGCTAAAGAGCTGAGGGACAGCGCCCAGGCCCAGAGTTCAGCCTCTGCAACCGACCAAAAACAAAACAAAACAAAAAACCTGACAGGCTATCGCTGGCACAGTGACATTTTACAGTAAATTTTTTGTAAGTACACTCTAAAATAGCAATTGGAAGCTTACAGTAGTACAGTAAATACATAACCTTGTTATACTAGTAACCTTGTTATTAGGTACTATATGTCATTTTACATACTAAACTTTTCTTTTGATGGTATTAGTGTTTAAACTCAGGGCCTTGTGCTTGTTAGGGAAGTTCTTTACTGCTAAACTACTCCAACCAATCCTGGCTTTTTGCTGGTTACTCTTTCTGGTGCTTGAACTCATAGCTTCATGCTCACTTAGCTTACTTGTTGGCTACTGCTCTACCACTTGAGCTACACCTCCAGCCCTGTTTTTTTTGCTGGTTATTTTGGAGACAAAGTATCAGACTTTGCTGTCTGGGCTGGCCTTCAACCATGATCCTCTAGTTCTTGGCTTCCTGAGTCACTAGGATTACAGGAGTGTGTCCCCTGAGATAATGTCTCACCTCCTGCCCAGGCCTGGTCTTGGACTATGAATCTACCTATTTTAGCCTTTTTTTTTTTTTTTGCCACTACTTCTAGCTTCTTTCCATTGAGATGGAATCTTGCAGACTTTTCCATCTGGGCTGGCTTGGAATAATGATCCTCCCAATCTCAGCCTCACATGTAGTTTAGGATGAAAGATACTCCTACCCAACTATGGGTTGAAAAGGAAGCTTACAGTGTTTTCTGTCCAGGCTGGCCACAAACTCCTCCTCCCATTCCCAGCCTCTCAAGTAGGTAGGATTATAGGGATTATAGATGTGAGCCACCAGTGCCTAGTTTGTACTACATTTTACAAGTAATACATTGCATTGAGACCTTAGCATGGCTTCAGTGTCACTAGGTGATCAAAGAATTTCAATTTCATTATCTAATAGTAACAGTCTTGTGTATGTGGTCTATCCTTGACTGAATATCAAGATGCAGCACATGACCCTGTGCGTGTGCATGTGTGTGTGCGCACGTCTACAGCTTGAGCCACATCACGCCACTTCTGGTTTTTAGGTGGCTAATTGGAGATTAAGAGTCTCATGAAGTGGGGCTGGGAAAGTGGCTCAGTGGTAGAGTGCTTGCCTTGCATGTATGAGGCCCTGGGTTCGATTCCTCAGCACCACATAAGCAGGAAATGGTGCTATGGCTCAAGTGGTAGAGCGCTAGCCTTGAGCTGAAGAGCTGAGGGACAGTGCCCAGGCCCAGAGTTCAGGCCCACAACCTACCAAAAAAAAAAGAGTCTCATAAGGATGTTTCTGTCCAGGCTGGCTTTGAGCCATGATCCTCAGATCTCAGACTCCGAAGTAGCTAGGATTACAGATGTGAACCACAGGCACCTGGCTCTTTTTTTTTTTTTGGTAGGAGTCTGGGCATGGAATTTAGACTATGTGCTCACCAGTGAGCCACATACCTCCTTTCCCTCCCTCTCTGGCTTTTAAAAAAATTCTAAATTATTTGTAGAGAAGAGTGTTGAGCATTTTCTATGTTTTATTTTTAAATTTTTCTTTGCCTCTCCCCAGCAGATAATTGAGTGATAGCACAATCTAAGAACTTGAGCAAATGTTGATGTTCTCACACAGGTAGTCTCAGAATACACACACAGAACCTTCTGCTAGATGAGTGACTTGTAACTAACTATTCTACCATTCTGGTCCTCCAAGGATTCCCGATTTGCCTAATAATTGAGTAACACTCTGCTAAATTCTGTCACTTACTGATTTTTCTAAGACTTTCAAGGTTAAATGTATACCTATGTATCTTAGGAGATAACAGAAGATATTTCCACTCCATTGAGATAGTTTGGAGAATGCTACATTTAATTTTAGGACAAATAATTTTCCATTTTGATGTTATAGCAGTATCTCCCATGGTAAACAGTTAATGCCTTTGTTCTGTGAGCCACTGCAGAAGTGTATCATGTTCTGCCTGGGAGGGAATATAGTAGGGATAGAAAGTGAAAGTAAGGATTGAATTACAGTAAAATAACCTGTTTCATTTTCTTTCTCAGTTTCCTTCTGTATTGAATAGTCATGGACCATTCACACTCTCTGGCCTGGATGGACCTTCTACTCCTGGTCCATTTTCTCCAGACCTGCAGAAGACATAACCTATGCACTTATGGACAGAACCAAGGAACAAAAGAACCGAGCTCAACCTGATTGCATTTGAAGTGAGCGATTAGTTCTGCAGTTCTGATAATAGACTATTGTGGTTTTTTACCATTTTCCATCAAGATACCTTTTATGGGTTCCATTTGACTCAGTGTTGGACTGTGTATAAAAATGCCTTAATTGGAGTCCAAACTCCACCTCCTCATTTTCTCCTTCTTTTCTTTGTCCTTTAGAGCTTTGTGCTAAAGTAATTTTTGGTGGGGTTTAACAGCTGCACTTTGTGAGTATGTTTAAGAACAAAATTATTTCTCCTGGCCGTCGGGACCCTTTGTCAGGAAAAAAATATGCTTAGACTCTTGTTATTTCAAGGAGTATTAGTTAAATGACATGGCCATGTGTTTAGGGCTAAGTAAGCGCTGTTGAACAACTCAGTTGTTCTAAGCAGTGGGAGACAAAGAACCATTCCTGTTTATAAACAGTAAGATGGGGGGGATTCTGTGTTGAGGACTGTAATGTAGGTATCCTGTTTATGCCCATCCAGGGCAGGACTCTTAGCCATGTGTATGGTCTTGTCTGAACCTGTCAGTAGGGCATCAAGCTAGTCTGTTTTGACATAGAAGATAGTCAAAGCTTGGGTTGAAGGTGGTTTTTGAAACATCTGGTGGCTGTCTAGGACCCTGCATCTAGCATAGTGATGTGGTAAGATTGCATAACTGTGCAAGCACAGCACGTAAGTGATGCGCCTTAGAGGGAGGATGGACCTGGGCTTTGAAAATCGGAAGCATCTCTAAGTAAAGTGCAGTTGAATACCTTCAAACAATACGTGAGGCTTTTCCCGGTTCAAGGTTCCTAGAGTAAAGGAGCCGTTCTTCCCGCGCATCGTGCCCTGTGTTCTGCCATATATTTAACATCTTTCCTTTGACATCTAAGGCTGGTAAGAGGTGACTAGGAAGGTGAAGCTGTCCAGTCAATAGAGAGAGAAAGATTCCTCCCAGAGAAGAAGAGGTTTCTCTCGGCAGTGCCCACATGCCGGGCTCCAGCTGTTTGTATTAGTAGTAAGAACTTGTGATGTCATACTTACATCACCTCACTAACAGAATATAACCATTGGCCATCAGTGCCAGGAGCAGGCAGATAGGGTTTGATGCTCCGCCAACTGTATCACTGGAATTGTCTGAAAAGTTTGACTTTCAACCAAGACTCAATTACAGGCTGCCCACACCTGCATACCCATTGACGTTTTTTAACCCTGTGACAGAATCACATGAGCTATGTGGAAAGGAGGAGTAAGGACTCAAGGGCTCAAAATGACACTGCGATGGGCAAACCCACACCTTCAACATGTACAGTATTGACTTTAAATGTCCTTCTCTGCAGTAGTGGAGAGAGCGTGGATGCTCTCTGCTGCCTTTCTTTGGGTGGTGTAGGAGACCTGTTACTGGCTCATTTGTGGTCTAAGTTCTGTTCCTGAGATGTGCAATAGTAGTGTGGAAAGGCCGTGTTTGGTGTGACGGGACAGGCTTTCTCCATTTTCTCCCCATCTTGTTGAGTTTGCTTCCCTGTTTGACCCCTCAGCTGCACTTTGTACCGGTAGTCAATAGTAGTGGTTGACTTAACCATGTGTTTTAAATTCTGAGAGCACAAAAGTATTTTTACCTTTTTGAATGAAAGGAGAAAAGCCATGGTCTGTTTTTACAGATGGTGTGTTTGATAGGTTATGTTCGCAGAACAGAGTGGCCTAATGCCACAGGCACTCTTCGCCATTCAGGCTCTGAGCAACTTCCTAGGAAGCGGGGTTAGAGGTTAGCCCGCCTGTGGCTTTCTGTGAGCCTGTGAGTGAAGTCTCAGAAAGGTGCGAGGTCTCCGGAGGAGAAGAGCATTTGCTTGCATTTTGACAGCAGCCACTTTGGGAAGTGTGCACCTGGTGTGTGTGTGTGTGTGTGTGTGTGTGTGTGTGTGTGTGTGTGTGTGTGTGTGTGTGTGTGTGTGTGTGTGTGTGTGTGTGTGTGTGTGTGTGTGTGTGTGTGTGTTTGTGAAATCGTGCCTCTTTTCAAGTTGGAATTTCCAGATTCAGGAGGTAGACCATTGTCTTTGTAGACTACCTCCTTTTTGGAAAAGTCTCAGCTTTGTATTCTTTTGAATGTCTTGAGAATTCTTGGCATCAAGAGGTGGCTTTGTGATCAGTATTCTCTGGAGACACATACTTGGTGGCCACATCTGGTTTGCATGTCCAGAACCCCACCCACAGTGAATGGTGCTCACCAGCAGAGGCTTTAGGTGTGTGTGTGTGTGTTTGGGAGGGGGTGTAAAAGGTTGCCTGGGGTCTAAAGCAGTTTCAGTGACTTCTTACCCTTTTCTCTGCCCTGACCCCTACCTACTCAGTGTTGTGCTGGAGAATCTTTTGACACCAGATGTCTGAGGTGGAGGAAGCCCTGAAGTGCATAGGGTTATTCATTCCCTTCATGCATGCTACTCCTTTGTGGCTGATTTCAAGCTGCCACCTTGCAGCTGAGGAGAGTGCGCAGGTGGCGCCGTGCTGCCAGCAAGCCGCTGCGTCTGCCGCCCACAGTGGGCTGTCACATCCGAAGCTGTATTTTCTTAAAAAAAAATTTTTTTTTTTTGGTCAGTCCTGGGGCTTGAACTCTGGGCCTGGGCGCTGTCCCTCAGCTCTTCAGCTCAAGGCCAGCACTCTACCACTTGAGTCACAATGCCACTTCCAGCCTTTTCTGCTTATGCGGTGCTGAGGAATCGAACCCAGGGCCTCATGCATGCGAGGCAAGCACTCTACCACTGAGCCACCTACCCAGCCCCTTAAATTGATTTTTAAAAGTACAAAATTAAATTTAGTATGGGATTTCAGTAATCCTTTTTTAAAAATGGTTACCATGCTGTGTGTTTGTATTTAAACAAAGGTATAAATTTCCAATGATTTAAAAAATCTTACACCTAATTGAGGCCTTTAAAGGTCAACCTTAAGCTTTTTGGAGTTAAAATATAGTTCCCCCCCACACTTTTGACAGTTAAAATTTAGATGGAATTTTGTTTTCTTCAAATATTGATGGAGAGCTGTTCAGCTTGTGAGCATATACAAGGTTCTGGATTTGCTTTGTTTTAACTGGAAAATTCCTTGAAGATATATGTACTCTATACTCGAGGTCACTGAAGGCAGGACTGACTGTCGTATAAGTGGAAGCAAGGCCTTCTCTTCTGCCTGCTCACATATAATACTGTTCCTCTGTGCTTTTCTCCACACCAGTCACTGTGTCTGTCTCTCACATTCTAAAACTGTAGCTTTAGATGTCTAGTGATTTAAACACCTTTAGTGGCACTCAGTATTTCAGAAAAGCAGTCTCCACCTTGATCCAGTAGTAAAAGTTTTTGAATATAGAAATTTATGTCTTTTTTTTTTTTTGCCAGGCCTGGCACTGTCCCTGAGCTACTTTTGCTCAAGGCTAGCATTCGGGAGCCACAGTGCCACTTCCAGCTTTTTTTTTTTTTTTTCTGTTTATGTGGTACTGAATAACCAAACCTAGGGTTTCTTGAATGCTAGGCAAGCACTCTTACCACTAAGCCACATTCCCAGCCCCAGAAATTTATGTCTTAAAAATCCTTATGGGAGCTGGGCACACTGGTGGCTCGCTCATGTAATCCTAGCTACTCAGGAGGCTGAGAGCTGAGGATCAAGATTCAAAGCCAGCCCAGGCAGGAAACTCCATGTTGAGACTCTTAGGTCCAATTAACCACAAGAAAATCGGAAGTGGTGCTGTGGCTCAAAGTTGTAGAGTGCTAGCTTTGAGCGGAAAAATCTCAGGGACAGTGCCCAGGCTCTGAGTTCAAGCTGCATGACCGACCAAAAACACCATAATAATCCTTCTGAGCTTTTGTGAAGTTTATACTAACCTGGCATGCGTTCTGCATAGTCTCCCGGCAGGTGAGGGAAGGCCCCAGGTTCAGTGCTGTGCAGCAGATCCGTGATGCCCTTCCTGCTCATCAGCACCCAGACCACATACCCCCATGTCCACAGACTCCCGCACACCACTTCTCACTTGAATCTTGGCAAGCCATGTTTGTTTTATGTGTGATATGTGGCAGAGGCCTAGAAAGAGACTTGGAATTTTTCAGGAGAGGCTTTTGAAATTTCACGTTCTTTTTGAAAATTTTGAAAAGTCCTCAGCTTTTGAAATTTCTCATTCTTTTGTGTAAGTTGCCAAGTAACCCATTAACAAATGTTCTCTAGAACATCATGCACATTGTTTTTTTTGATAGCATATTGTCTCTTTCATCATTGTATTAGGCATAACTCTTATTTTTAATTTCCTAATCTGCTTTTGGTTTTGTATTCTACCCACAAACTCAGAATTACTTTATGGTAAAATATATAACAACGTTGAGGTCCTTGCATATATTGTGTTTTTACTTGTGTGTGCGTGTAGTATTTCAGTATTTGAAGGAATTCTTTGCTTGATTGGCTGCTTCTGTTTAACCACTTTATTAACTAAATTCCATGGCAGAAATCTAGATCATTTTTATGTGGGGAAACAAGTGTGAGACTAGCACAGGCTCTGAGAGGAGACCTGGGGTTCCGAGTGAATTTCCTGGGCCAAAAGGAAGGTTAAAAAGACTGCATGTTGTAGTCTGTTGGCTGAGGTGTGCTTAGAATGCATTCTTTCTCAGATGGAACTGAGCAGTTAAGAGTTCAATCCACAGGACAATGAATGATCCACAGGGCAACCAACCATAATTGTGTCTTCAGAAAATGGGTTTTATGGAAAGTGTGTGTTATCTTGTAGCTCTGAGATCAACACATAGATTTTCAGCACTGCCCAGGAGCTGCTCTGTTCCTTGTCTACATCATTGGAGCCCTGTTGACTAAAAGTGAAGTTTTACTTCACCTTAAGAGTCTGGTAACTTTGTGGGTGATGGTACATTAAACAAGGAATGGAGGATATGATTTCACTGCTTGTCCCCAGTGGAACCTGTTGCTGGCCTAGTTATCCTTTGGCCTGTGAACAGCAGATGGGAGAGGTGGATGAAGGGCCTTTCCAGTGCTCCGTCTGCAGCCGTGTGCTTTTTCTGAAGCTAAGTGCATCATGTGGCTAGCCTGCTAGAAAGAAACCACTTTTAGGGTGCCGCCATTCTTGCTTAGCCCTCATGAACAATGGAAATCCTGACTGGTTTGTGTGTAAGGGGAA